TTCCAAATTAATTATGTTCGTTTAGAAAACTTTCAAAACATGGTAAAAAGCTTATAATGCTATTTTCAAATTCTTTGATTATTAGCTCGAGTTTTTTTAGCATAGCATTTATTTTATTTCTAATGGTAAACAAATTAACACTTTGTCCTTGTAGTTCCAAATTTAATTCATATAATTTTCCCCAAATATCAGCTAAATATGCTAAACGAGCCAACCATAATTCATTAAATAAAATTTTTTGCAATTCAAGTTTTGAATCACACAGGAAAATTTTAATTTCTGATCGAAGTTCAAAAAGACGATTTAAAACTTTATCCCTGGATAACCACCTTACTTCGGAATATAGCAAAAGCGTTTCATGATCACTGCCAATCGTGAATATTCTTGAATTTAAAGCTCCGCTTTTAATAAAATTAACAATTTCCCCAGCTTGATTCAAAATGATTTTCAGGGTTTCGGGGATTGTTTCGGCTATTGAAGCTTCAAGATGAGTGGAGCAGAGAGTAAATTTAGTTTCAGGTGCGGCTTTCTTTATTTGAGAATAGCACCGGAATGTGTTCCTGTTAAAGCCCAAGCTCAGCCACTGCGCATGGCAATGCTCTTTTTCCAAGGAATATCATTCTTAGACACAAAACTGTCAATCACTTTAAAATTTCATTTGCAGTTGCTGTATCATGAAGTTATTTACAAAATAAATACTCTTCGGCAATTCCTCTGTCTTCTTTGAAACATATGTAAACTAATAATTGAACAAAGTTCGTTATATCAGTATTTTCATCCAATTGAAATGCGAAATATTTATTGTGTTTTATTTTTTGAGTAAGTGTTTTACGGACTTTGCCATTTCATGAATTCGCCGACTTACTGCATCGCTTGATAACGGAAGACTATTAAGTTTATTAGTCGCTTTTTTTGTTGAATAGTGTTAGAACGATATCTTTAGCTGCTAATATAAAGGTTTTCGCCAATACTGTGAGCCTGTCCAGTCTTGACAGTTCTTAGGCTTACTAGGTAACTATCTTCCAAAGCTTTTTAAACTTAAAGTAACAAAACATTTCTTTACTTGTTTACTATTTTTGAACTCCGATTATTTCCTCTTAAATATTCGGTGAAAATGTGCTTTAGCACACTGCTTGGCGATTTTTTGAAAATCGCCAATTTGGCACCCTTCAATTTGGCACAATTTTTTGGTTTAAAAATGATTGATCACAGCAACTATATTTGTTACATTTAAAACTTATCAGAATAGTGGATTTGTTGCCAATCTAGAGAAACTAAACTTCGTAAAAACAAAGTAACGCCTTCTTTCACTATTGCGAATTAAATCATGCTTAATCCATTCTGGAATTATCATTTAAGCTATTAAATTATCCCATACACTGACTCAGCGTCCACAACCAATTAAGTCAGTTTCTAAGGTCAGTTCCTTCGGTGTCTTTTTGCCGAGTGATACCAAAAGTAAGGTGAACAAAACGGCATCGAACAAAGAACAAATATTTAAAAAAAAAAAATGTCACATTTTTTTCGATTTCACGATGGTAAAAGTTCAGAATACGCTGCATTAACAACGTTGCGAAGGCGGAGCAACATGACGTCCATAAATGGGTGGGACTAAGCTTCTGACGTCGCATTGTATTCTCTATAGATATAGAAATAAGTATAATAAATTGTTTATATTTCAAATTTTCACTCCCTCTTATTTCTCCCCTCAGAGGAAACTCAATAAGGTATTTTCTAATACCAGGCTCCGCATGGAACTCTTTACACGACTGGGAAGTATTGCTCCGGCAATAGAAACCCAGTACAATGCAGTATATCGCAGTATCACAGTATTTCAAATTACCATGATACAGTAAGTGAATTCTACCAATTACTGAAACGGTAAACAACGTCGCAGTCTCTCATACTTCTATTTCATATAGCTTCAGTATTTTCAAAGATTTTTAAGCTTTAGCATTTATACAAATAAAAAAAGATTTAAAAAAAAAAATTTAAATTCGTATTATAGAATATTTTTAATTTTGACATTTTTACAAATTACCTTATTGATACGTAATGACACAACCCCTTACATACCAGTAAGTAGACAATCTTCATTATTTTCTAAAAATTTTAAACTTTACATTAATAAAAAATATTCTTGCATATCATCATCATACACAGCTTTCATATCGTCTGCAGTGTAAATGTAGAAAAGTTTATGTGTTAAATGTTCTGTTGTGATATTCAAAATAATTTTGTTTTGCTGTATTATGAATGTTATGACATATTGTTATTCATTTTTATTATATTGAGTTATATTTTTGGAATTGCTGAGTAAAGACGTTTTTGAGGATTTGTCGGATTGATGATAACATTACAGATTTTGAGTTTTAAGTGGGTCTGCATTTAAAGATAAAATGGATATTGATATGTTGAAGAAAAAGCGTGCAACGGCACGCAGTGCCTTTACTAGGACGGCTAAGATTCTAAAAACCGAACTTTGTAAAGATGTTCAAGCGGATAGAGATGTATTGAAATACAAAATTTTGAAGTTGCAGATGATAATTGCTGAGTTGAGATCTTGCGATTCAGAAATACTAGATTCAATGATTAAAAGAGAAACACGATAATGTGACAATCAAAATCGGATAATCAATTGCCTCCACTTTAGAAAAATAAGTTTTAACAAATTTTCACTTAACGTATGCCCTGTATGATACACATATTGTTTTACAGTTAGCCTTATTGAACTTCAGATTATTTTCTCATGCTCTTTGTAGTAACTTTTAAGTTGTAGGTCATGTCTTATTTCATTAGATCCCCATATTAGGATATCATCTATAATGCATTCACCGCTGTGACGTTACAGCTACTAGCACCCCCCGCGCGCACAGGTGCTGAATTATAACTTTCTGTTTTGTTCGCGGACGAAATGGACCATACTTGCAAAAAGTAAGACTGCAGATAAAACCCCCTGGGAGTTTCCCGACACAAGGAACTAATTATGTTTCTCTTCGCAGATAACAAAAACGAGTGAAATCTTTGTGTAAGAGTTCTTCATGTGATTTTGAGGTGACAGGACGCATTTTTTACGTTCTAAACCACGCCAGTGGTTTCTGTAGAACAATAGTTTTTTTTTATGCTGTAACTACAGTAAAAAAGACGCTTTTTTGCGTGCAATCTGCGTTAGCGGATATTGTATGATTTAGGGCTGTAATGATCAGTTTATTTTTATGTTTTAATCAAGAAATCTATTTTAGTTTATCAAATAAATAATTTAAAAGACAACCTGTCTTTCTTTCACCCGACACGGGTGTCCTGACGTTACAGCTATAATAAATGGCGGCAGCGGTGGGATAAGAAAATCCATGCAGAGATTGCAGACCGTCCGAGTCTGAAATTCATCTCGAGTTTGTAGGACAGCCATTGTCCGGAACATCATCAGTGTTTGCAGATAGTACAGACCGCCAGGCTCTGAAGTGCAGCACGAATTTACGAACATCCGTTCGAAAAGTGATTTACAGCTCTTCGAAGTGGGGAATAGAATCCACGAAGAAGTTACGGACATCAGTCCAGAAAAAGAGGAACGACAGTCTCCTGAAATAAGCTCATCTTTAAGCGCGGTGATAAAGGTGCTACTTGTGCGATCATCTTTTGTGTTCGAGAAAATTTACCGCAGTGAGCGTGTGGGACAATCATTGTCCGAAGATCATCAGATCATTGTGATGTGTAGAGTATTGAAAAAGTGATATGTGGGTGATCACTCTTGCGATCGAGAAAATTTAGATCATCAGATCTTGTGTGTATGCGATATAGGTGCCTGGATCATCAGTGTCCATAAAATCTTAAATTGTGAGAAAGCGAAGTTGTGACGGCATCCGGTTTTTCATCGCAACCATTTCAACTCTCCATTCCAGACGGGTAAGTACCTTGGATTTTTATATTGAGGCAGTAAAGTAATTTAATTTATTTCTGTAAATCAGTATGTAAGTTCACATAACTGTTTTATGTCAACTTGTTCCTGTAAAGCTTAAAGAAATGTGCTTTTTGGGTTTTATGTTACAATAAGAAAGTATAAAATTTAGAATTTAAACCTGTGTTAATAGATTTTTTTTAATATCTGAAATGTTAATGTGTGTTGTGCTTAAATTAAACTTATATATTGGATTGTGTAAAGGAGTAGAATTACTGTAACTTGAAGGTTTTAATGTTAGGTGGCATTCTGACATATCATTTCTAAGACGTTTTGAATGTTATAAATATTAGAATTTCAGTTAAGGTGTGTCAAACTTTTATTTGTGTAAGAACTGAGAAATTTTTTTTTCTATTGAAGGAGTAAAAGGGGAATGATAAAACCCCCAGTATCTTTCCTTTTAACTGTTGTCATATTAATGTTAACCACTAGCATATGGATAGGTATTGTGTAATTTATTGTATTCTGAATGCATATTTTAACATACCCCAAATTTTAAGGAAAGTATATTGTATTATCATAAGCAAGTGTGTTTTACGCAACTGAATTTAAAGCTTTTCAGAGGATAATGTTATTTGTAGTTTCATACGTCCTCAAGTAGACAATTTTCGGTTTTGTTTTTATTTTTGAATGCATAATGTGCATATTAAAGTGTAAACTGTCTGGTTTTTGTCTAACATCTGTAAAATAGGTTGTGAAAAAGTTATAAAAGTTTAATTTTTACTCTCTCTCTTGTGAAAATGATATCTGTTTAAATCAATTGTATGTATCTGTAGTGTGAGGGAGCTAAAATTGTTAGGATCATAATTTTGGTTATATCATGGCATTCTTAGCAAAAGTTAGGAAAGAGGATCTTAAATCCTTGGCTGAAGAGTTAGGGGGAAAAGTTAGCCCTGAACTTAGGATATTGGATTTAAGACAGCTGATTATGGGAAATGAATCCTATGAGGAGGAACTAGTGAAAGGCCTGTTAGAAAATATCACTTCAACGAGGCTTGAGAGAGAGAAAAAAAGGAGGCAGGCAAGAAAGAATTAGGAAGAGAAGAAGAAGAAAGGCAGGATAGAATTAGAAGAGAAGAAATGGAATTTGAATTATCCAAGTTACGTTTACTAGCCGCTAACGGAAATGACTCTGGAAATGGTGGGAATGAAGAAAATGGACTAAAAAAAAGCCGATACGATCTAAAAAAAATGATGCCAAAATTTGATCCTGAAGAGAACGATATCAGTTTGTATCTAGTCATGTTTGAGCGCCAAGCAAAGCGTGCGAATCTTCACCAATCAGAATGGGTTTCGGTTTTATTGACAATTTTGCCAACTGACATAGTTCAGCTGATTATGCGAGAACCAGAACAGCAGGCTTATGATTACGCTTATATAAAAGGGATACTGCTTAAAAGGTTCAAACTTAGTCCAGAAAAATTTCGCATCAAATTCGTGCAATCTCAGAAACACCCCCAAACCACTTGGAGAGATTTTGCCTTTGAATTAAGGAATTATTTTGAAGAATGGATTGCAGATTTGGAAGTTACGGATTTTGAACTTTTAAAAGAGCTCATGATAACGGACCAAATGAGCGTCGTGTAAATGCCGAAGTGCGGCAACATTTTATTGACGAATGGTCGAAGATAACGACTCCAGAGAAATTAGCGGAAATGCTAGAAGAATATGAAAATGTGCGTGAACCCCGGACCCGGAAGAAGATCTCTCCTGTTCATAGTTCGGAGTCACAAAGGGGAAATACAAATAATTTAAATTCGAGGGATCCGCAAATGTATCATCAATCCGGAGGGGAAACGAGATATGCCCCCGAGAAAAAAGAAACTTTCAGAAATCAGAAAGAACGCAAATTTGATGCCCGTAAACCACTTAAGTGTTATTCCTTCCTTTCCACCGAACACTTAAGGCCTAAATTCCCTAAAGTTCAAAAAGATTTCAAATCGCCAGCCGTAGTAAATAGGGTACAGGAAACTGAAGAAGATTTTTTAGCCCCGTACACAACGATGGCTAAGGTGAATGGATTCGATTTACCTGTATTACGGGATTCGGGAGCATCTATAGATGTAATTTGCAACAAATACATCACTCCTTCGATGCTGACGGGCGAAACGGTTTGGGCAAACATCCGTTTGATGCGACACCAATTTGTTTACCCTTAGCACACGTCAAATTAGAAGGGGAGTTTGGTCAAGTGACAACAAAGGCAGCGGTCATTCGAAACGACTTAGATCAAGGCCGATATCTCCTGGGGAATAGGACGGCTACAAAATTACAAGCAGACCAACTGGATAGAATTTTCTTCCGAGTAAACGCGGTGGAGACCCGGGCTCAGAAACTCCGCCAAGCAAAGAACGAAATCGGCGAAAGTCTTCGGCAAGAGTCGGAAGCCAAACCCCCGGGCGAAGAGGAAGTCCCAACAAAGGGGATGAAGGAGACCAATTTCTCCCTGCCTGAAACAGAGGTGAACGACCTGACACTGCTCACTATAGACAAAACGCAGTTGTCGGATCTACAGAAGAAAAGTACGGATTTAAAACCACTTTTCGACCTGGCTGCTGCGTCAGACGATCAAAATAACTCTACGAAAAACGTTTACAAATTAAAAGATGGACTGTTATATAAATGTCAGGAAGACCGGATAGGAAATGTGAGGAAATTACTGGTCGTTCCCGAAACTTGTCGGACAAAAGTGCTACGTTTATGCCATGAGCAGGTCTCAGGACATTGGGCGTAACAAAGTCGAAAGACCATCTCGCGAGGTATTTTTTTGGCCGAAATGTTACCAAGACATGGAAAACTATATTCGAACTTGTGACCCTTGTCAAAGGGTGGGGAAGACTAACGACCGAAAAAAAGCACCTCTAAAATTAGTACCCGTGATATCAGAAGTATTCTCAAAGATAAACATAGATACATGTGGTCCTTTGCCCACCACGCCTAGGGGAAAGAAATATATCTTGACCGCACTCTGTTTATCTTCCAAATATCCGGAAGCAATTCCTATAGAAGACATCACTTCCCTTTCGATAGTGGATGCTTTGATGCAACTTTTCAGCCGGATGGGGTTTCCTAAAGAAGTCCAGTGCGATCAAGGGACGTCTTTTATGAGTAACTTAACAACGGAATTTTTTTGAACGTTTTGGAATTAAAGTTAGCCATAGTTCGGTCCACCACCCCCAGTCTAATCCGGTAGAAAGATTTCATCGCACCATAAAAAGAATTCTGCGAGTTTTATGTTTAGAGGCTGGTTCGGATTGGGAGCAAGTTTTACCCTCGGCCCTTCTGGCCTTAAGAACAGTGACACATGAAAGCACAGGGTTCACTCCTGCGGAATTAGTCCACGGAAAAAATTTGCGAACTCCAGAGACATTGTTATACGAACATTGGACAAATAATCAAGAGGAAGAACAACCGGTGACTGAGTACATTTTTAAACTTATAAATCGCCTGAAGAAATGCCAAGAGTTGGCAGTTGAGAAAATGCAAGATCAGCAACTCAAAAGGAAGAAATGGTACGATAAAAATTCCATAAAAAGAGAGTTTAAAGAAGGTGATCTAGTTTTATGTTGGCTATTTCCAAAGCAAACAAACTTTCGGCTCATTGGACGGGACCGTTGAAAATTGAAAGTAAAATGTCGGAAACCAACTACATTGTGGCTTTACCGGGAAAGAAAGAGAAATCCCAAATTTATCATATCAATATGTTGAAACCCTACTACCAAAGACCTGAGGCAATTAATTATTTGTCATGTAGCGGAAATGGTTCTGACCAAATTGATACGGAAATAGATTTTCTCTATATAGACACTGATCCAAATGTTTACGATTATTCTGAGGTCATTAAAAATAGTAAATTGGAAGAATTGTCAGAACCCTTGCAAAGAGACCAATTACAAAAATTATTGAATAAGTTTTCGAGGAGCTTTTCTAATGCGCCGGGCATGACAGACCTCGTAGAACACGACATTGAAGTTATCAGTGATAAGCCAGTAAGATCCAAGCCGTATCGTATGTCACATCGACAAAATGAAATTTTAAAAAGAGAAATTCAGCGAATGCTTGACCTAAAAATTATTGAGGTGGGAGAATCTGATTACACTTCGCCGATGATTCTCGTGGAAGCCCCAAATAAAGATCCCCGTCCTTGCGTGGATTACCGACGCTTAAACGAAGTTACCCGAACCCAGTATTATCCTTTACCCAACATAGAAGAACGGGTGGAAGAAGTTGCTTCAGCAAAATATATCTCGGTTATAGACTTAGCTAAGGGATATTGGCAGATACCATTGAGCCCTAATGCGCAAAGATATGCTGCCTTCGTGACAAGTTTCGGCACTTACAGACCCTTACGGTTAAGTTTTGGCTTAAAAATGCTCCATATTTCTTTTTCAAAATGATGCAAGGAATAGTTAAAGGATGCGAAGAATTTGCAGTTCCGTACCTCGATGATGTAGCGATTTTTTCAAAGACCTAGGAAAGCCATCTTAAGCATCTGGAAATAGTACTAAAACACCTTCGAAGTGTCGTTTTGTGCAAAAACATGTCCTTTACTTGGGCCATATTGTAGGCCGAGGTTACCGGAAACCGTCGGATGTAAAAACTAAGGCTATAAAAGATTTCCCCACTCCCAAAACTAAAACGAATATAAGGGCATTTTTAGGTTTAGCGGGCTACTATAGCCGTTATATTCCAATGTATTCAGCGATCGCAGCTCCGCTGACGGATCTCTTAAACGGGAAAACTGTAAAGGGTGATATTCTGTGGAATGCAGACTGTGAGAGGTCGTTCACCGATCTGAAAGAAAAACTAACAAATCACCCAGTTTTGTATGCACCTGATTTTAGTCTTCCTTTTATTCTCCAGACCGACGCATCGGATCAAGGAATGGGTGTTGTCCTAGCCCAACTCTCTAACAAGGAAGAGGAGCATCCGATTATTTTTCTCAGCAAGAAGTTTTCAGAGGTAGAGAAAAAATACTGCACTACCGAAAAGGAATGTGCCAGCATTGTTTTCGGTATCAAGATATTTCACTATCATCTAGACGGACAAGAATTTACTGTGCAAACGGATCATAACCCGCTCACTTGGTTACGGACTAATGCCAGTAATAACCCTCGCTTAATGCGTTGGGTGCTAGCTCTTCAGCCATATAATTTCTCAATTGTTCACCGTTCAGGGAAACTAGATAAGAATGCTGATGCGTTAAGCCGGAGGGCTTGAGAACCCATTCTCTATATTTCCGTTATAGTCATAAACTTGTGTTTTTTTGGTATAAATTTTTTTCCATTTAAATCCATTTTTTTAGAAACTATACTTTTGTTATTGTATATGAATAATTAAGTTATTTCTTAGTATTGTGTTGTTTATATGCTTTTTTTTTTTACTGGCCTCAATATAAGTTCTTGTTATATATTTATCCTTGGTACTTAGCCCAGTGTTGTTGTAAAATGTATTAATGCTAATAACTAATTTGCTAATTAGTTTACTTTGAAAACTTGCTGTGGTAGCTACCGGGAATTGGAAGTTCTGAAAACCCCCGCCCCCCGGGGAGAAAAGGGGTTGTGACGTTACAGCTACTAGCACCCCCCGCGGGCACAGGTGCTGAATTATAACTTCCTGTTTTGTTCGCGGACGAAATGGACCATACCTGAAAAAGTAGGACTGCAGATAAAACCCCCTGGGAGTTTCCGGACACAAGGAACTAATTATGTTTCTCTTCGCAGATAACATGTACAGTTGCGCGCCTCCAACCTACACGCAACAAAGTGGTGACTGCTGAAACTGGAAATTAGACAGAGTCTTGCGAAGGGTTTAAGTCCCTTTTTTTATTCAACTTAAGAAATTACAATTGCGTGCTCTTGACGCTCACAAACTACGCCGACCCGGCGGTTAAATAAAAATAAGAAACCTGAAAAGAAATAATAACAAGAGACTAACTACGAGGCTCTCTAAACGTAACTAACCTCACCGCGTTTTACAATACCGCTGCTAATTCAGCAAACTTTGAATATCACGTTGAACGATTAACAATTGGCCGAGACAAGCACACAGGCCGAAACGCGTGGTTCTTCAATTTCTGGCTAACTACCTCCGCGCTCGTGAAGTAGGAACAGCACATCTCGAACTCGTTTCCTTTCTATTTAACTCAAAATACTTCCGCTGATAATTTGAATCCTTGCGCGTTCTACTAATTTTAATAAAATTTATATAGTCTGGCATTGGCAGTTCCAGGGGAAAGTAAGGCTTGACAGAAAAGATAGTTTAAACTTAAAATAAATGTTAGTTAAAATAAATATAAACCCTACAAACAAAAATGAGTGAAATCTTTGTGTAAGAGTTCATATGACTTTGAGGTGACAGGACGCATCTTTTACGTTCTAAACCACGCCAGTGGTTTCTGTAGAACAATAGGTTTTTTATGCTGTAACTACAGTAAAAAGGACGCTTTTTTGCGTCCAATCTGCGTTAGCGGATATTGTATGATTTAGGGCTGTAATGATCAGTTTATTTTTATGTTTTAATCAAGAAATCTATTTTAGTTTATCAAATAAATAATTTGAAAGACAACCTGTTTTTCTTTCACCCGACACGGGTGTCCTGACGTTACACCGCCTTCTAGACTTTCTCTTATTTGGTTTAATTTTCTTTGGCAAATTTATGGAGCTGATCATATGGCAAATGGTAATTTTTTAATTTGTATCTGACAAAAGGTGTATTGAATATGCACAAAATATTACTTCTTCGTCAAGCTGTATTTGTGACGAGGAACTATTAACGTGTAAAGCACAGAATATTTTTGCTTTTGGCCTTCTAGTGATCACATCGTCTATGGTTAACATAGGATAATGTTCTCATTTTATCGCTCTATTTAAAACTCTAGGATTTAAACATATTCTTATTTTGTTAGATTTGACAACAGTGACCATTGAACTTACCATTGAACTTACCTTAATTACTTAATTGGTTTTCTTACTTTTTCAACTAAATTAAAATTTTCCATTCTTTGTAGTTCTTTCGTCACTTTATATCGTATAGCTATGGGTATTTTTCTTGGAGGATGAATTACTGGTATTGCTTCTTGTTTTAAGTGGATTTTATATTCTGCATTCAAATAGTCTAAGTCTTCAAATACATCTTCGTATTCCTCCAATAAGTCTTC